TCTTACTTTTCTCCATGTCTGAACTGTCACCCTAATAGAGAATATCCACATATGTGAGGCAATATATGGACCTTCTATTTGTATTACAGTTACCTTTTTCTAGTCAGTTCTACTGTCTTTAAATAATGACAGCAGTCAATAATATGTTTTTAATCTTTAGTGGGGGAAATTACTTTTCAATCCCAAATTCAGAGGATTCTTTCAAAATCCTCTGAACTGACCACAGGCTTGTGTATGCAGAAACCCATAGCAGGTTTTGAACTACTAAAAACTGTTAAAATAAGGCTCTTTAAAAGGATAATGGGAAGAATATATAAATACTCTGTTCAAGGAAATGAAAATCAATTGGCTAATAAACATCTGAGAATAAGTTTAACCTCATTAATATTAAAGTAATAGTGCAATACTGTTTTGTGCAATTCCATTAGTAAAAGACATACAAAATTATGCTTGCTAGGGTCATAGACACAGTAAAAACGATCTACCAAGCTCAGCATATATTCCTAAAATCAATTCTTCAGCTTACTGTGCCATCCCAAAGAAAGAAGTCCTTGCTTGACACCTGAGTAAGGCACAGTCATTGGACCAGCACTGGACACCTACTCCTATACTGCATGAAGATAAACAGAGAAGGAAAGGTCAGGAATGTTAATAGTAGAACATGAAGATCTCTGACTCAAACTGCGCAGGTAAACAAGTGGAGGGAAGATAAAGTCATTAGTTTGGGGGTGGGCTCAAAAAGTGAGAGTTCATGGAGTTGGTGAAAGGAATCAGGAATGTCACCAAGAAGGGGGTAGGTAGATAATAGAAAATCTCTGAAAAAAGAACAGCCCTTTGACAGAGACATTAAGGGACGGGGGATGAGAGGAGGAAGTGACAAATGAGAAAGTTGACCTCTCTAAGTGCAAGAAGATGTGGTGAATAAATTGTGGTGTAGATTATGATTCTGAATAACTTTTTTTTTTAACCTGTAAGTGGTTCTATAATGTATGTGCTGCCAAAAGAACCACTAGGTAAGCAATGTTTGAGACAAGTTCTAAAGTGTCTTTGCAATACAAATAATCTGTTATGAAGACTCTTCCTGAGACTACAAAAAGGACAAACATTAACCAAATTCATTTAATGAACTTAATATAACACTGAGACTGATAAAACTACAGCAAATACATATATAATGTCTCTGTGTATGTGTATGCCAGTCTCAGGAACATAAGTGAGAAAGAAATGGCAAGTTGAATCCACCAGTACATTATAAAATAATAATACCCCAAATACTATGATAGAACTTCAAGGAGATTGGCATATCCACAATAATAGTCAGACATAAGCACCTGTCTTTCAATAACAAATACAGACAAAATAAATGAAGATATAAGGAAGAAAATTTAAACAACATGCACCAAACTAAATTTATGTTCACAGAATAGTTCATACAACAACAGAATGACAGACACTCTCCTCAAGTGCACATGGAACATGTGTGAAGAGAGACCATGTTCTGGCCCATAAAAGAAGTCTCACTCAGTTAAAAAAAAAAAAAAACAAATCATACAAAGTATGTTCTCTGACCGCAATGGAATTGAATTAATAATGAAACAAATGTGGAAAAGCTTCCAACTACTTGGCAACTACATGACATACGTCTAAATGACTTTTGGAACAGAGAAACCAGGATCTTCAATCAGTGAATTCAGTTTTTATTTTGAATAGGTAAAAAGAGAAGAGTAACAAAATAAACAATGAAGATAATAATATAAGGGTAGAAATCAATGAAATCAAAAAATAAGAAATCAATAGACTAAAAGCTAGTTTGCTGTGAAAGTCAGTAGTATTAGTAAATCTCTAGCTGGACTGATTTTTAAAAAGACCAGACACAATTACCATCAGGAATGAGATGTAACATCAGTACCAATTCTACAAATACCAGAAGGATAATAAATTGGTAAGTATGACTGAGAAATACACACTACCATGAACTTCTGATGTAACGGAAATTTTTAATATAAGTTTGGTGGAAAATTTGAGACTACCTAGTAAAACAGTTTGATCCACCGGCCCTACTTCCAGTAATACATTCTGAAGATGCACCTCTAGTCATAAAATACCTATGCATAAGGTTATCCTTCCAACATTGCTGAAACACTAAAATATTAGAAACTAATACCCATATGCAGGAGAATAAGTGAAAAATTATGGCAGTGACATAATGCAGTCAGAAAAATTAGAAAATCTCTGCACAATAACTGACTTCAAATCTGTAATAAGTACAAATACATAAAGTTAATGATTATAAAAATGTATTCTCATTCTCACAAAAGGATGTTGCTATCTTGAGTTTGTCTCATAGAGCTGACCAAAAGTAAAGCAGAAGTAATGGTGTCATCAAAGATACGTGCAATTTCCATGTCTAAAAGTGCTGATCAGAAAACAAAATCAAGAGATGGAAGGGCTCCCCAAACATAATGTATGAGACCATCCATAAAATAGTTTCTGCTAATGATTTTAAAAAACACCCTCTTCTGAAGCCCATATATGAAGCAGGAGGGAGCCACATATGTGCAGTCTTAGGTCCCTTAAAGGGAGGAAGCTGTTGCAGAACTATGGGACCTAGGCCCTTTGAGAAACTTACAAGGAGGGCTGACCCTCCCTAGATACTGCTGCCCGGGGTGAGGTCCCAGAAGTTAGGAAGCTTGGCGTGATGCCAATGAGAAATCCTAGGTGAAGGGACCAGTCATCAGGCTTCTCTCCTCCTCAGTTTGCCCCACCCCCTTCCCTAAGGCTGGCCACATTGGGGTTCCGCTCTTGCATCCCTGGGCAGCAAGAGACTCGGAGCATAAGGCAGACCTGTCCCCCACTCCTTCGTCCACGTCCCCCACCTCATCCTCACCCCTTCGCCCCCCAAAAGCAACACAGAGTCCAGCAGCACCAGGAGAGGCCACAGTGGGGGAAGGGTCGCTCAGAGGGAGGATGGAGCGCGAGGACAACCAGGGCAAGCAGGAGGCTTCCAGGCATTTCTTGCTCCCGGTTGGAGTTTCAGCTCCCCCGCCCCCGCCCGGGGACCCCACTACCCGGCCTCGCACCCACCTCCTCCAACAGCAGCCGCCGCTTCTCTCCGCGGCGCCTCCTCAGGATGACTCCCTGCCCCTCGAGCTCCTGGACAAAACAGCTGCGCCAAGGAGCTCGCCGGGGCCGAGGGACCGGCTCCTCCAGCAACGCACGCTGCAGTTCTGGCCGCCGCAGCTGAGCACTGCGGTTCGGGCAGCGGGGACAGTCACTGCCCCCGGCCTGCCTGCGCACCCCAGCACCCAAACACGCTACCACTCGTCTCGGGGCAGTGGGTCCATCGCCAGGTGCCGGCGCCGCCCTTCGCCCCGCGAGACCGCACACCGCGGCGCCCGCCCAGATCCGCGCGGTCACGTGACCCGCCGTCGGCCCACGTGACCCCGCGGCCGCTGGGCAGCAGCAGCGGCTGCCGCAGCCCACCCACGCAGCAAGCTGCAGGGGCCCCAGGCGCCTCCCGCCCCGCACGCAGACCACTGGCAGCCCGCATTGGGGGACCTGTCAGCCCTCACCGCCCACCCTGCTCCGTAGGACTCGGGGCTGGTGACCTACACTGCACCAGGAGTTTGGACAGCCACGCATTTGTAATATTCTCGACTATTTGGCTCTCTAGTTATGTACACATCAATCATTTCTGTTTTATATACTAACAGCGATTGTATTTTTAATATTTTATTGGGTTTATATAGCATATGTAAATTACAAATGTATATTTAACAAATTTTATATTCATATAGCCCATAATTTATAAATTCACAAATTACAGACATCTACATTTGCTTTATTTAAATGTTATAGATAGTATTTAAAATATTAAAACACAGTGGGTCTTGGTTCAAAAGCCACTTGCCAGCACCGGGATGATCTGTGTCAATATGTATGCTTTGTGAAGGGGGACAAAACCGTCCTTTCAGGACAAAACTGTCCTTTCAAAAATGTCTTTTTCTCACAATGAAACCTTATGCATTTCCCTTTAGAAGACTCCAGTCCCCATACCCCAAACAGTTTATCCCTGACTTTTTGTCCTTTCTTAATTTTATAAAGTTTATAAACGCAAACCAAAAAAAAAAATGGAATGAATTCATGAACTTTGCAAATTTTAGTTTATTCCCTTTTAAAATAGGTACTTTTATTTGGCAGTCCTTCTGAAGTTGTACTCACTCACTGTTCTTTATTGCTTTAAAATGTTTTCTTAACAATGCAGAAATTTCCATTACCAAATAATATAAATTTGTATAAATTTGGCCCATGAACACATCTATTTTTATAATGGGATTATCATGTCTATACTGTTAACAGTCTTTCTTATTTCACCAAATATATAAAATATCAGGGTTTTTAAAAGTCAGTTTTAAATCTATACATCATCATTTAGTGGATGTCTATACCTTTACACTTCCGACTGGCACCACCATGAAGAAATCATCTCCCCAACTTAGTTAAATTTGTGTGCCTTTCTGTCTTATTTTAACCTGTAGGCCAGATAGAACACCAAGACTTTCAGCTGCAAAGTGCAACTTGTCAGCTTTTCAAAAGTTACTTTACCTTGTCTGTTCAATACATTCCTCTTAGCCACTCGAGGCCCCTTAAATACCAAACTCCTGTAGAAAACTCTTCCCAATGCCATAACATACCACCTACTCTTTTCTACACTGCAGAGTCCAACTTAATGGGGTTCTTTTTCTTTCAAACCTGCCCTAAGTAGCAGCCCATGGAAAGTTTTGCATTTAAAGCTGTGAAAATAAGCTTTTTGAAGACGTACAGTATTCTTACATTATCAATTTGTGTGCATGTATTTTCTTTACACCTACAATTTTTAAGTTCAAGAAGGGTAATTTTTGCCAATTTTAACATAGAACTTTATTGGAAAAACAAGAAAGACTCAAAGACATCAATGCACTAGAACAGCAATCAGAAAGATGGCTCAGTTCACTGTAAGCTTAAATGCTAAATATCACAATATGGGCAAAAGACAACTATTAACATGTGTTCTCAGTTTTAGTATTTGGCATCAGAAGAATGATTTGGGTGATGGTAATACCAAGTTGGCCAAGGTTAGTATCAGGATTAAAGATATATGTGGCAACACGAACCAAATATGGAAATCAAACATTATTCAAGGATCCCAGCTCGGAGCAGCAGGACAATCAGAGGCACGCTACTTTTCTTGGTGTGCCTCGGGGTCATTCTGATTATCTATTTTGCCTCGCAGTTCTTTAGCAAATTTCTCAACTTCATGGAAAGCAGTAATAAGTGGTTCCCAACTATAATCATCATCAGTAAACAACACTTCCTCTTTTTTGACACTGTTACCAATATTGTCAAACATTTCTAGAACAACTTTAATATTGTCATTTGTCTCCTTCCTATTAAAAATACCCATGAATTCTGATATTACTTCAACACTGAGTAGTTCTTTGATCATGGCAGGATTTTCAGACAAGTTCAGTAGCACTTTCAGAACATGAAACCTTGTTTTGGCATTGCCTGTGGCTAGTAAGGAGAGAAACCCAGACATATATTTGGCAACCAATGTGTGATAGTCAGTAACTGTAGTGAGGTGTCTAACCATCTTTATTCCAGACAGCTGCTCAGGGGAATCTAAGCTACAAGTAAGGGTTTCCTCACACACTTGACATATGTATGTCTGAATCATGTTTAGGTTGGGATAAGGTAGAGCCATGTGAATCATATTTTCCAAAAAACTTGTCCTCTCTCTAGAGGCGGGATAATTGAGCAAGGTTTCAATAAGTGAAACTATACCTGCATCCCGAATAAAATCTCGGGTAAACTGAGAAGCACCTCTCATACCCATTGCAATTTTAGATATTTCATGAATAAAAGGATCGCGAATTTTGTCCATTAATACAAGAAGTTCTTCAAACTCTGCAGAATCAATTCTAAGCTCACACTGTATGCAGCTGCAGGACCAATTTGCAGGCTCTGCACTCTCCTTGGCCTTAAGGTGCTCTCGAATTTCTGTGACTGACCGATAGGCTGGATCATACTGAAAGGGGAACTCAGGGTCAGGCTGATCAGGTGGAAGCAAAGATTCCTGTTCCTCCCCTTCTGGGGCAGGTTCCACATTCTTGGGCTTTCCCCAAAACATTTCAGAGAACAGAGATGCTGCTTCTTTTGAAAATCTACAACAGTTTTGGGATGGAAAGCCAACTCTACCCCATGGACCAGGCGTGAACTGAATAGTGACCTCCTCCCAGCTCTGGGGCCTGCGTGAAGCATCAGGCTCCTGGTCAGCTGAACACTTGGACTTGCAAATGGCCCGGAACACAGGGCTAGGATTTGGTTCAAAGTGGGCATCATCTCCTGCCCAGAACCAGGACCCCACCATGGCTTCATCCTCCTCAGTTACTGTCTTGGACTCACACTTGGTTCCACTGCCAGGCCTATTATGGGCCTGATCAGTAGCTCCAAACCAAGACCCAACAACTGCCCCTTCATTTCCTGCTCTAGACTCACAGATAGTGTCAGTTCCATCCTCTTTAACGGCCTTGTCTTCAGACCAGAACCAGGACTCCACAATCATCTCTTCTCCATCCTCTGGCTTGGATGTAGAGCATGTGTCTGCTTTTATACTGACTTCCTCTACAGTCGAGAACCAAAATCCATACACTGTCTCTTCAGTCCTTGACCTGGTATTTTCTACTGGATGAGGCCCAGCATCTACACTGTCCTCATCTTTAGCCCAAAACCAGGAACCAATGATGACTTCCTTCTCTTCATCTTCTGAACTAGATTTGCTACAAAAGCCAGTCTCCTTCCTAATGGCCTCTTCCCTGGCCCAGAAACAGGACCCAGCGACAGCTTCCTCCTTAGCTACTAGCCTGTCTTCTCTAGCCTCAGCTGCTGCCCTGAACCCGTTCTCTTCCCCAGCCCAGAACCAAGAAGCAATAACATCCTCTTCTTCACCTTCTGGCCTGGATTCCTCTACAGCTTCTGGCCTGGATTCTTCTCCATATGTGGAGTTTATAATGGCTTCATCCCCTTTCCAGAACCAGGATGCAATCAGGGTTTCCTCCTCAGTCAGTGACCTATCTTCTTCTTCAGTCCCATCATCTATACTGCTCTCTTCTGCAGCCCACAAGCAGGGCCCTATAATGGTGTCTGGCCTTGTGTATTGTCTGGAACACAGCCAGGAATCAGCAGTGTCCTGTTTCTCCTCTAGCCTAGTCTTCCTGATGCCTCCACTGGCAGGATAGACAGAATGATCTTCCCAGAAGCAAGAGTCACTGGTCTTTTCTGCCCCTGCCATAAATTTGCACTTGGCACTAGTCTCATACTTCAGGCTGATCTCTTCTGTGGTCCCAAACCGAGATGATACAATAACCTCTTCCTTCTCCTCCATGTTAGACTTGTTGCTGACTTCAGTTTCCACACAAGTTTCTAGCCCAGCCCAGAACCATGACCCGATAATGGGCTCTTTCTCCTCAGTCCCTAGAATAGTATCACTGTTCACTTCACTCCCAGAATCCATCTGGGCCTGGTTTCCAGCCCAAAACCAGGATCCAAATATTGTCTCTTCTTCAGCTACTGGTCTGGCCTCTTCTCCAACCTCAGCCTCTCTACTGACCTCTTCTCCAGTCCAAAACAAGGGAACAGTGCTGCCTTCTTCCTCCGACCTTGGTCTGGATTTGCAGCTGGCCCCATCACCAGCTTTCACACTGACTTCATCACTGACCCAAAACCAAGAGCCAAAAATGGCCTCTTCCTCAGCCTCTGGGTTGGTTTCCTCACCAATCCAGAAGCAGGAACCATCAGTAACCTTTTCTTCATTAGTTGCTAGCACACATTCAGAGGAAGCCTCAGCCCCAGTTTCCATACTGGTCTCCTTCTCCATCCCTAGCAGGGAATTCCCAATAGGTTCTTCCTCAGTCCTTGACTTGGAGTTACTGACGGCCTCAGTCACCATGCTAGCCCCTTCTTCAGTCCAAAACCAAGTGCCAACAATAGACTCTCTCTCCACCTGTGGACTGGACTCGACACTGTCCCCACCCAGTGTGCTAGACTCTTCTGCAGACCAGAACCAGGTCCCAATGAAAAATTCTTCCACAGATTTGGCTTCTCGCTTAGCCTTGGCTCTTGCTTTTATTTTGACCTCTTCCTCTGCAATTTCTCTGGCCCTAGCCTCTTTTTTGGACTTGCACCTTGACAGGGTATTATCCTTTTCTACAGGCCAGAGCCAGGATCCTTTTTTCACTATACCTTTGTACCCAGACATGAAATCAGTAGAAGCTTCTCTCTCGGCCCTCTCTCTGGCCCTGATATTGGCCCCTTCCCTGGCTCTGAATTTAGACCTGCATTCAAACTCCTCTTCAGCCCAGATCCAGGACTTCATATTCTCCTCATATTCAGACATAGAACTGGACTCAGAAATGTCTTTCTTGGACCTAAGAAAGGACATATTATTGGTTTCTCTTCTGGGCCTAGACCAGGTATTGTTCTTTTCTCCAGCCCAGAAGCAGGATGTCTTAAAAGATTCATCCTCAGAACCAGAACTAGTCGCAATATAGAACTCCCTCTTGGTTTTGGGCCTAGACATGGCCCCTTTTTTTGCCTTGTGCCTGGACCTCATACTGACATTTACCTTGCTTGGAGGACAAAAGCTTGCACTGCCTTCTTCTCCATTCCAAAACCAAGAACTCAGAGAGGGTCCATCTGCCAACTTAAAGTTCCAATTGTGCAAGGGCTCTTGTTTGCCTGTAGGCCTGTGACAGCACCAGGATCCTATACTGGCCTCTTCCCCTGACTTCAATAAACACTGGCTTCCTGCCTGGGACTTGACCTTGGTGCTAGCAAAGGAAAAAGCATCCAAACTGACCAAGTCCCTATCCATAAATAAGTTATTAGCTTTAGCAACAGACCCAGTCTCAATGTTGACCAGTGGCCAGGCTGTGGCACTGATTTGGGATACTTGTTCTGTTTTCAACACTCCTTCAGCATCAAACACATACTTGGGCCAGGAGTGAGTTTCATTCTTGGTCTCAGTCTTAGGAGGTGCCCCACCCACCACCACCGCCTCACTTTTGGGCCTTCTCCTACCGAATGCTCTCAATTCAGTCTTGGGCCTTGCTCCAGCCATAGCTTTGGATTCAATTTTAGGCCTTGCCCCAGATAAAGACTTGAGCTCAGTTTTAGGCCTTGCATCAGGCATCTGGGTTTGGGCCCGAACCTTGGGTCTGACCACCATTGGGGCCTCATTCTCTCCCTCAGCCCCACCTCCTGCCTCCTCTCCAGCTTTCTTTTCAGTTTTGGTCTGGGCACCAGTCTCAATCTCCGCCTCAGTCATGGCTCAGAGTACAAGGATACCCCTATGCCAGTCCCAGCCTCTACCACAGATGTATCACAGTTTCGTTCTTCACTTTCTGATGGCTCAGCAATGCAGGAAACAAGAATTTGAGTCAGTCGCACTTCAGACCCAGTCAGTCACCTGTTGAAGGCCACACTCAGTCAACACTACAGAGGGCAGATGAAGCACAGCAATCTCGGAGAGGACGGATGGCTCCGGGGTGGGTGCAGACCTGTTGAGGCGGGTCAGCAGCAAATCCAACACCAACTGAGCTGCAACTGCAAGCGGCTCTAGGGAGAGAACGACATGGCTGTGAATCTCCTCCAGGTGCCTCCTGGCAGGAACCCGCACGGAGCCTGGGCTTGAATGCTAGGTGGAACGGTGGCACTACTACAAAGTCTCTGTCACCCCCATTTGGGCTACACCTTGCAACCCCAGAGCTTCCCCACTGCCTCGCCAGCAACAAAACAGGCATGGGATGGTGGGAAAGTGTGCAGATGACGGCAGAGCTTGATCAGCGCCCAGACCCTAGTCTCCCTCGCACCCGCTGGCTTCCATTACACACCCAAAAGTCTCCCCGTGCTCATACCAACCTGCACCGATGGGGTGCAACTGCCCCCTCCTTTCTTCGTTCCAGTGGTATTAAGCACACAGCAGAGGGCAGGCCGTCCTACGGACAAGTAAACACACGGGAGGAAATGTAGTCTGACCACTAGGTAGGAAAGCAGGCACCCTGGATCCGGAGACAATCTTACCTCTGGCCATTTATGGGTCCAACATGTCCAGCATTTCCTGTCTCCTGGTCCCTGCCCTCAGACTGCCTCCTCACCTCCCTAGCCAGCACAACCAACCCCTACCCCAGTAGTCCTCATTTTGCCCGGAGAAAACGGTCAGGGGCTGCTGAGGCGGTGAGCACATCTGGTGGGGCTGGAGAAGGGGAGGAGGCCCTGCACCCACCTGCATCAAAGGCCCCAGGCATGCTCTGATCTGCAGCTGCCCTGCAGTGCCCCTCTTCACACCAACCTCCGGGGAGCTGGGCCAGTCTTCTCTTCCTTTCCTTGCTTGCAGAAGTGAGGCCTCTTAAAGCAGGCCTGTGGACAAAGAGATGAAAGAGTTAAAGACAGCCAGGAAATAATGGTACTGACTGAGTGTTTGATTAACAGACCTTCAGCAAGGATGGGAATATAGGCAGCTCACCCGCCTGCTTGAGACTATGGAGGTGCCTCTCTTTTTCTTTCTCCTTTTCTTTTGAAAATGTAAAAGTAAACAAAAAGAAAACATGAAAGATGATGCTATCCTTTTAACACTTAGGAATCTGTTGGTAGAGTATGGATATTAAATTTAGGCCCCTTATTTCAATTTTTAGGATAGCAAACGTTCTTTACATCACAAACTCCTCATTCCTTCCTCTAAATATGAGGATTCATTACTGGATATTCACATCTCCTTGCCCTATACAACATAAACTGAGGCAGGTACCCAAGATACTCTAGAAAACAGGTTACATGCTATTTGTAATTACGACTCCCTTGTAACCCTCACCACCAAAACCCATCTTCTCATGCCTTCAATTTAGATGGAGCTGAGGAAGGGCAAAGAAGTGCAGATAGTCGGGAAAGAAAAGTTTAGGGCTTTACCCTAGATGCCTGAGCTGCTCTGACTGTAATGACCCCGGTCTTGATTCACGTCTCCAGGCAGTGAAGACTTCCACCCATGCCGCGCATCCCAACACACATCCAGGAACCCAGGCCACTTACTTGCCTACTCCTTTTCCTCAAGTCTCTCAGGTACCGAAGTTCTTCGTAGTCCGCCCCAATGCTCCACAGAACAGTCTAGACGAGAGGTTTTGGCGTCAAGGGGGCGCCACTGGGAAGGGTATGAGAGCTTGGAGCCCCAAAGGCCCAACCCCAGAATTGGACCCCCAACTCAGCCCGCACTCCTGCGGGTTGCAGGAGTGCCCCAATCTCGCTCGGCCATTTATTCCTCAGACCACCCCACAGCCCTGGCACCCTGGCCCCGTACCACAACGACGCCGTCGAGGGCAGGCGCGCGAGCCAAGAAGGCAGGCTACGCGGCTGCGCTCGCGGCTCAGAGCCAGGACACCCGAGGGCGCCTCGGGCCCTGGGCCAGAACTCCACCGCCGCCGCCGCCTGCGAACCCCGGCGCCACACACCTCTCGCCCGCACCGCTTCCCTCCGCGC